CCGGGGGCCCCCCGGGGGCTTTGGCGCTGCTGCCAGCAGCTCCGCGCGCTCCGCCTTGCTGCAAACAATGCGGAGGCTCCAGCCGCCCAGCCGCCGCGGGCCCGCGAGCTGGAGCCTCCAGGGAGGGAGAGGGGAGGGAGCGGACAGCCCCGCCGCCAGCCCGCGTTCCGCGCCCCAGCCTTCCAAAGAAGGGAATCCCCTCCAGTCACGGCGCCTGGCGGCCAATCAGCTGCCAGGGCAGGGGATTCCCGCTTCGCCTGCCGCGCGTGCGGTCTCTTTAAATGGCAAGTCGGTCCCTCTGGGAGACCTCATCGGGGCAGGGCGGGTGAGAGTGGGGAGAAAGGGCGGGGAGCCTAGAGGAGAGGCGCTGGGGTGGACAAGGGCTAAGGGAGCTCATAGAGGGCAGCATATAGGGCGGGCAGGAGGCGCAGAAGAGCTAAGGGGATCAAGGGGAGTATAAATAAGGAGGGTGGCAGTTAGGGGCAATCTAGCTCATCACTTTCTCCTTGAGTAGAGACAAAAAGTCAGAATGGCCCAGGACACTGGTATAAAAAATGGGTGGTATTTATTCGCACAATGCACATCAATATAGCTACGTTATAAATAAGTATTTTTAATTTAGATAATCGTGACCGGAGCTTAACTTCAGAGATGGAGTGGAAATTAGAAAGATCTGCTTCTAGGAAGGTCAAGACTGATGAAGACATGTTGTGGGTAAATGTCATTCCTTGTTTCTTTTTATTCTAACTCACCAGTGCTTTGCTAGAGTAAAGTCAAGTAATTTATCTTCTCCCAGTTAAATAGTACAATTGTGGAAAAAGTCATAAAGATCATATGCTTCCTTTATTTAGGAAGAACTCATGAAGTCAGCTGAGAGTTTTATCTTAGCAAGAGTGCAGAAAAGGGCCCACAACACATAAATAATTTTGCTTCAAAAGGGGGAAGGACTTAAGGACTTGATCTTCCAGAAACATCTGATTTAATTAGACCAGTGATTTAGACAGGATATAAAAATTGTTATTGGCTAGATGATACCTGAAAATGTAATAGCATTATTTGTACTTTTGTGTTTTTTTAAAAGGAGAAAGTAATGAAAACACTTGGGAAAGAGCTTAAGCAAATCAGAAAACAAAGTTTACAGAAGCTCACTAAGGTAAGTACATATACAAAAATTCTCCTTTGTATATTTTTAGGGGCAAGGAGGAAAGGACAAAAAAAGCAGAAAATCTATATAATTTTGAAGACAAAAATAACATTTTAAGATTTTTTCCCTGTGGTTATTAACCCTAAACACTACTCATGAAGCTAGTTTAAATGCACCATGTGAAACTATTGGAAAATGTATAGAAGCTACTTTAGTGGCAAAGTGGCAGTGATATAATGAGAACTTCAAAGTAGATCCTAGGATTCTTTCTTCATAGGATTATGGGGCTGATTACCGAATAAAAGTTACTTGATCTGGCTGAAGGGGCTATAGGAATGTTGGTAGTTGCCTATCCAGGCAACATCATAAGTAATCTGGTACATAGTTGTGTAGTTGCATGGTAAGGAATAGAAGAAACAATAAAGAGTGAAAACATAACAGATAGATGTAAACATACAGTTTATTATTTAATAATCACCAGCAGTGTTCTAGGTAAAGTTCGATTCAAAACACAGACAGTCCTTGCCTCAAAAGATTACAGTGTAAATCTGGTGAGTCACTAGTAGAATCCTAAATGAGATTCAGACATTCTTAGAGTTTGGGGTAATGTAAAAGGAGACTCCTCGACTGGACATTTTGGAGCAGAAGATAAGCATGATGCATTAAAAACCGAACGTAGTACAGAAGTATATTCAACACCAACATGCGAGTATAGTACTTTATTAACATTCATACATGCAGTACTGTTGATCACAGTGCTAGATTGAACATGCTGAACAATAGCTAAGCTATAGAGCTAGCTGTGGGACAAAGCAAATGGCCAAGAAGCACTGATTGAGCACAAGCATGTGACAGTTTGGCAGTGCACTGCTAGCTGGCTGTTGAAAACTTTGTATATGAACAGTTGCTAAGTGCACTCCACATTGTTGCATTCAAAAGCATCACAGAAGTCATGGAAATGGCACCCTCTTGTGGAATGTGATGGGAGACAGATGTGAATTAACCAATTAAGTCATCTAGCTGTTGCCTAGCCATGGCAACTGGACAAGTAATTGCTCATATATATTTTTTTATTGAACATTCCGGAGTATTGCAAAATACAATTCTTTTTGAGTGGAAAAAGAGCCCAGTTTTGAAAAGCAAAGAAAGAGGCTCACAGTCTGTACTTATTTACATACATGCAACCTTTTTGGTTCTGACTTCAGTACCAACCATACAGCTCACTGCCCCTATGAGTCCTAAGATCCAAACTTATAGTTATTAAACATAATGAAGGTGACTTTTTATGTGCAACATCAATTTTTGCTCTTTAAGGGCTTGGTACAAATCTCATTGAAATCAATTATACTACTCACAAGCTTAAAATTAGTCACTTGCTTAATTGTCTTGCTGAATCAGAGTCTGAGCTAAAATGCCTCCAAAAAAGGACAGTATCTTGCCCTTGATATTTATTGCATTTAAGTATTTACAGTTTGGATTGAAATACATATTGAGTTAATTTTGAAGAGGTTAGCAATATTCAAATTAGATGGGAAATGGAGTGACTATGTGAATGGACCTTAACTTTTCCATCCCTCCAGTTTGCAAAGTTTCTATTATAAGTAAAATTCAGTCATAGAGTCTTGAGAAAGGAAATATATTGCTTTGCTTAGACTTCCTGTGTCTGGTAGGCAGTGTACTGTTAGCTGGCTGCTTTGTGTGGATCTAGCAGTCTCTACTACACTGTCACCAGCTGCAGAGCCAGCTCCCTGTTATTTTAATGCAATGGCATCAAACTTTTGAGAACATTGATGATAACCACACATGTGTGCTGGGAAGGCAGTGTATTGTTAGCTGGTTGAACATCTGACACCAGCTAACTTACAGCTGCTATCTTATTCCACATACTGTGATCATCCAACAGCAGCAAAACTAGTTTTGCTTAGTTCAGCTTCTAGGCTCTTTTTTATTTTCTGTTGGAAAGTGTATAATCAAACAATAGTGAAACTAATATTTACATTTATCACTGTTTCACACACGTTAGTTATTCAAAGTACAAAAATGCTCTGACACCAGCTAACTTACAGCTGCTATCTTATTCCACATACTGTGATCATCCAACAGCAGCAAAACTAGTTTTGCTTAGTTCAGCTTCTAGGCTCTTTTTTATTTTCTGTTGGAAAGTGTATAATCAAACAATAGTGAAACTAATATTTACATTTATCACTGTTTCACACACGTTAGTTATTCAAAGTACAAAAATGCGGGCGCTCGGGCGCATGGTGCTCAAGCGGCGCCGGTACCGGCCCCAGGCGTGTGGCTCGGGCGGCGGCGCCGGCCCCG